ACAGTTATGAGCGTGACATGAATCAGCCCATTTACAATTCTACTGTGCTTGAACTTGAATGAGAAATGTCCCCCCTTTGGGAATGGCCTAAAGACACTACAGTCAGTGACACTGCCCTGGGGGAGAGAATATTTCTACACTGGTGAAATGGTATAGATTTAACTTCCTTATCAACCTTATTAGGATATATATAATTTAAGAGGCGGTTTTCTACACACTACTTTGGCATGAAGTTTTAGAAGGATACATGTTAACTATTTCTCAGAGACAATAGGATAGATTACTCACTACCCTAGAATTACAAAATTCTATCTGCTCAGTACCTTGTTTTGAGAAATTTGACGTTAAAAAAATATTGAGTTTCACATGTCAAGCTTTTTTCTAAAGCAATTCTTTCAATATTTTGATAACGACTCCGAAAAATTTTAAGATTTTGTTTGCTAAAAGCAGATAGAACATTTGGTTTTTTACCTCATGATCTTAGTAGTATCTCAAAACAGCCAAAAATGTCAGATAGAACTTTGTAATTCGAAGGTAGCAAACTGTAAAAATACCCGATATATTCTGAGGTGGCCGGCGCCCTGTGAAAGAATGATACACAGCTGGACCAGGGGCACGAGAACTTGAGGAGGAATATATTAAATATGTGTGTGTTTGTGTGTGTGTCTGTGTGTGTGTGTGTGTGTGTGTGTGTGTGTGTGTGTGTGTGTGTGTGTGCCTAAAGAAAGGTACCAAAAGTCGGATTTTAACCATTTTGAGTTGAGGGTTGTACTTAATAGGACATTCAATGCTGAACACTGTAGTTTTTTTTTTTTTTAGAGATATTTTGAGTAGTTTTTCAGATATTGAACATTTTGTGAGGTAGGGTATAAAGATCTAATTTTGAGAAAATTAGCTTTTAAGTTTAGATCACATACAAACTTGAAAAAAAAAACGATGATTCAATTGTTTCTAATGTATTTATTCATGGAACATTCATTTCCAATTCGGTATTCAGTTGACATCAATACCATGATTAGAATTCAATGGTAAAACATAGCGGGGAAGAGAAAACATGCTTCAAGAATAGATCTTAACACCTTTTTAAAAGCAGTTGTCATTATCTATTTAAAACATACCCTACCCTCAAAATAAAATATTTAGAAGTCAAATCAATGAAAACTTTTTTAACACATTGTAAAAAAGTGGTGGAACTATCATTTTTTTTTTTATGGAAACACATTTTGGTCAAAAAAGTAATATTTTGTCATTTTCAACCTGAAGCTCAATATGATCTGAGATGACTTTTGGTACCTTTCTGTAGGTACTCTCACACACACACAAACACACACACACACACACACACACACACACACACACACAAACACACACACACTATACATATATATGAGCCTTTCCTCAGAGTTTGTCTTCCTGATGTACTGTACTCTATGCAGTTTATTCAGGTTTATGTATTATAGGTTTAATGCCCACATCAAATCTATTAGGTTATTTAAGAGGTGGGACCTCCGAGTTTAACGTCCATCTCCGAAAGGACCAAACCAAATGGGAACTTTGTGTAAAGTTCCTTTCCCAAGGACGCAACGTCGAACCGAGCTGAGGCTCAAACCCCCGAACTTGCAATTTCAAGATTACGGGTCCGGTAGCCTAACCACTAGGCTACTGCCACAACGCCAACATCTTGAAAGTTGTTGCTTTAGCAAAACAACGCAAAATCAACCAGGGCAGGCGACAAAAGAAAAGGCTCAAGAAATCATCGGGCGATGCTGAACAAAAAGCTGTTACTACAACCATCACCAGCTCAAAAATTGATGACACTATAGAAAATTTGAAGGAACTTCTGGGCAATTATTAGCCCGAGAGAGCACTGAAGTTTGTAATAACCCAAACCCGAATTTCCAACTTTGGAATCAAGACACAAAGGTGGACATTTCAAGAGAAAAGCTTTGTGCTGTCGTAGTCAGTTGTACCATGCCAGCAAAAGAGCATATTATGGCCTTACTTTAAAACATCTTCCATCTACCAACCCCACGCACCCTTTCTTTAGCCAGGCACAATGTTAACATCTGCCCAGGGATCTGTGAAAACATCATGTGTTTGTTCAGGATTAAAGTGATGCAGATGAGCACTCAAGAGAAAATGTGCAGAAAAAATGGTGAAATGGTACAGGTTTAACGCCCGTATCAACATTATTAGTGGATCAAGTCAGGGAAGACCCTTTGTGACTCCTGTCGAGGAACAGTGAAAAACGCAGAAACAAGAGCTGCAGCTTCAAGGTCACACATTATCCAAAGCGCACAAGATCTGTATGATTTCTGTTCAGAAAAAAATGTCTGTAACGGATACATCAACTGAAGATAGTTGTTGTCAACCTAAATTTATTCGATTTTTTTCATTGATAAAAGATGGTGAAATCACAAGGGCTAATCCCACAAATGTTCATGTTGTAAAGAGCACAAGAGATATTCACTCACTAAGGCCATTGAAAAAAGATGTTATTCAAGTAAAACACCTATCATGTTTCTGGGATTCAGGCATCAAATTGACCTCACTTATCTTTTTTTAAAAGTTTTAGTAGAGTGTTACGGCGCTCGCAACTGCATAAGGTCAGACCTCACTTATCTGCTCCGCAGACAAACAAGGTCGAAATGATGCACACCTCACAAACGCACAAACCAACATTGTTAAGATCGCCACGGCAAACGGTGATCTGCAACAAAAGGAAAGAGAGAGACAGATCTTGTCTTGCAATAATTTTATGACCTCAAACATCTGGTATGAAAATCACCCAAGAAGACGATACACTTGGATGAGTCCTGGCGATAGAAATAGAAACCAAATAGACTTCATACTTATTCAGAAACATTTTAGAAATGCAATTAATTTGTTTAAATCACTGCCAGGAGCAGACTGTGATAGTGACCATGTACCAGTCACGTGTAAAATGCAGATGAGACTTAAGAAACTTAAATAAACAATGCACGCAATGCAGTTCAAGTGACCTGTTCTTTCTTTGCCTTCTCTTTCTTCTCCTTCTACACATGCGATACATCGTGTCTCAAGCCCTACACACTAGATCTATACGTCAAGTCTTTTTCTCTGTTCTCTGCCTTTCAGTAATTGTCTATTTTTCATATGTGGTGAGCCTAGATCTGCTATCCCTATAGATCACTATTGCTATCGTTAGTCTGAGTTACCATTCACGTTTCACTCATGATCTTAGATTGTTTGACACAGTACAGAGATAGATCTAGATCTAGAACTTCACCCTAGATCTAGAAGATTTATTCTAGATGATGAGTAGATCTCCAGTCGTACTCGTAGGTGCATTTTAGAGAGTGAATGGGTTGGAAATTGTTCTGAGCATGGTAAGACTTGGAGGAATCATAAGATTCTAACCCGTTTAATTCCATTTGTAACAACTATACATTGAAAATATTGTACTTGAGTCTTGGGTTTGAGCATTCCGAGAGACAGATAAAAAGGAAGTGTGTTATAATATTTAGCATGATTGTTGTGTCACGTTTTCTATGAAATAAACAAGTGACCTGTTCTTGGAAATTGTTCTGAGTATGTTAGACTTGGAGGAATCATATGATTGTAATCATTTGTCCTCTGCAAATTTGAAAATGACTTCGGCCGCAGGGGAACCCCTGCCCAATTTTTTTGTTTGACGCAATGGCATTTTCTTGAGACCTGAAAAACAGAACAGCCCAAGGAGTGAGGAATCATAAGGTCCTAATGATCTGTCCTCAGCAAATTTGAAAATGGCTTCGGCCATAGGGGAACCCCTGCCCAATTTTTTTGCTAGACAGAATGGCATTTTCTTGTAGCGCTCATTATTTGTTTGCTCAATACTAAAGGGTTGTGTTTTTTGTTATTCTGTATTCACAGATCCAATCATTGGTCATTCTAGATCTAGTTCTTTGTGCAGCTCGTAATAGAGAAAATAGGCCCTTGAGTTACAAAGTCTCTTTACCTCTGTGTTTACAGATTCAACATGGTGAACTTGAACCGAAAAACAAAGGAAACGAATACCTTTGGGAAAAAGAGAGGCCGTGCACAACAACTTCGGATGGCTCGGCTCAGCAAGGCTACTCAAAACAAGCAGCCAGTGGAAACTGCCTCCCAGTCTTCACCTTCATTGCCCTTGTCAATCACTTCATTGCTATCAACCCAGACGGCCACTTCTCCAACTCGCTCGTCCGCCACTTCTCCAACTCGCTCGCCAGCCACTACCCCATTGCCCTCGTCAAGCCCATCTACTTCAACAGTTCAAACCTCTGCATCAAAGAGAAAACTAGCCTACAATTCACCTGTTCATTCAACGATTTCTGATGATTTGAAGAAATGGCCAACGACCTACACCGATCTTGACACTTTGAAACCTCTGTTTGAAAATGTTTTGTGCCCTGAATGTTTTGAGCCCTCGCTTACTCTTCAGGTGGATGGAAAAAAAACTTGTGGCCTCGCAATCTTCTTGACTGTGCAATGTTCTAAATGCAATGCTGAGGTTTCATCAACTTGCACCTCAAAAAAATGTGGGTCTGTATATGACATCAACAGACGTGCTGTCGCTGCCGCTTCTGCTACAGGGATGGGTCATGAAGGACTAGGCAAATTCTCGGAAATCATGAACCTGCCTACCCTTCACCACAAAACATTTTCGTCTCATGTGAAATCAGTGAGCAAGAAGTGTGACGAATTTTCCAGGGACATTCTTTCCACATCAGTGGAGAAAGTGAAAAGGGCTTACGACGAACAGGAGTCTGTTATCAAAGATGTCCACGTATCCTTCGATGGGAGCTGGCACAAAAGGGGCCATACGTCGAAATCTGGAATTGCCTTGGCCATCGACCGAAAAACAGGACTTATCATAGACTATGAAATCCTCACTAGCTATTGCCCTATGTGTGCAACTACAGGGGTAAGGCTACAGAAGCAGAACATTCTTCAGTATGAACTCTGGCTCTGGGTTCACAAACCACAGTGCTATGCCAGCGGTGGAATGGAGAAGGAGGCAGCACTCCGAATCTGGAGTAGATCCATCCTGAAGAACGGTCTGCGCTATATATCCATGATCAGTGATGGAGATGCCAAGACAATATCGGCAATTCATGAACTTGATCCGTACCCTGGCATTGTGGTAGAGAAACATGAATGCGTAAATCATGTCGGGAAGAGACTTGGGAAAGCCCTCCGTAACATTGTTAGTGAAAAGTCAAAGCAAAAGGTCACACTTGGTGGTAACGGCCACGGAAAACTGAGGGAAAAGGTGATTGTCAAGCTGCCGGCCTATTACACGACTGCCATCAGGTCCAACAACACGGTGCCTGCAATGAAAAATGCCATTATGGCAATCGTAAATCACTGCTCATCGACTGACGAGGCTCCCCAACATCAACTCTGCCCCAGTGGGGAAAGCTCGAGGTGTTTTTTCAGGAAAGCAAAGGCCAGAGGTATAGATCCTGGAAGCCACACAGAGAATTTGGGGACTCCTCTTTGCCAGCTAGTCACTGACAACATTCGCCCAATTTTTGAACGGATGTCATCCGAAGACCTGCTGAGCCGTTGCATTCTACAGTCTACTCAGAATGCCAACGAGAGTGCCCACGCTTCAATTTGGGCCCGCTGTCCGAAGCATGTTTTTGCTAACAGAGACAGGCTCAGCATTGCCGTTTCAATTGGAGTGTCTGAGTTCAACTTTGGCTCCTCTTCAACGCGGAAGTTCATGAGAGCTCTGGACTTAGATGTTAGCGTAGGTACAATGAAGCGTGGGGTCAAGCGCGACCACACCCGAATCAGAAAGGCAGAGGAAGCAGTCACAGAAAAGGCTAGGAAATATAGACTGTTAAAAGCTGAAGCCAAAGAGAGAGAGGAGCAAAGGCTCCAGGAGAGGTTTGGACAGTTCTATGAACCTGGTGGAGGTGACTAGAGAGTTGGTGTTTCAAGTATGCTATTATGTGTTGTTGTATTTTCTGAAAGGAGGGGGGTAGTATGAATTTGGAGGGCAAAAGGAATGTCTAATTGCTTGTATTTTAGTATTTTTTACCATGAAATAATGTAAAAATGAATTCTGCTGCCAAAAAATGATGTTTTGTAGCAAACACAAGTTTCACAATTTTGTGGTGAACGGGGAAAATCTTTATTCTCATTTTTCTCAAAATGGCCCGTATTGATAATTTTTCAGCAGTTTTTGTAGTAAATCTCAGGAAATTACTGACCAAATTCAATGAAATTTGCACACAATATTCCTCAGATGTATGTCTTAGGGGTTACAGGGCCATATTGCTATTATCTTTTGTACATTTTGAGTTTGGGGTCAATATGTTGACCCATCCCCTAAAATATCCGAGTTCAAATTGTGTCCAGAGGTGTAGCCCAACATCTCTATCCAGGGAACAGTTTTCAAATTTCTGGCTTTGTAACCTCTTTTGCTGTGCTTTAGTTGATAGCCATGCCAAATATTTAAGTTACCTCTTTTTTATTTTAGAAGATTTTCTGAAAATAAAATTAGCAAAAAAACGCTGATTCAGCATATTTTTTATCCTTTTATGCAAAAAGTGTGAATGAAAATGTGATTTCTACAGTACACATCCTTCTATTCCATCCACCTACACATGTATATCATGAATTTTAGGCAAAGAATCCATTAACAAGAGATTTGGTGTCAACCCCCTGCCACCTCTCCTTAAAAAGTCAAAGTACCAACCAAAATTTGACATAGATCTTTTAAAGACAATTCAAGAACTGAGAGAATGTTTCAGCCATTACAAAACAGCTCAGTACATGAAGGGAGTTCTCCTCTGGAGCGATCAGCACTGAATGAGTTGAGAGGCGGGAACTCCAAGTTGAACGTCCATCTCCGATGGGATCAAGCCAAATGAGAAATTTGAGTCGAGTGCCTTTCCCCAAGCACACAACGTCAAACCCAGGTGAGGCTCGAACCCCCGAGCCTGCACCTCACGATTACGGGTCTGGTAGCCTAACCACTAGGCTACGACAACAGCACTTTTCGGGGAAGATGTTAAGAAATCTCTCCCACAAGCAAGAGGAGAAATGATTGGCATCCAACCTGACAGAAAAAAGCAGTTACAGTACGATAAAACTTCAACAAAGGAAAGTCTTTTTTTGGAAGACAGAAGCCCTTCGGGCAAAAACAACATAAGGGTCACCATTTGCAAAAGAAAGCCCTTTTCGACAGACGGGAAAACAGTTCCACAAAAAGCAAAAATAATTGAAGGAACGCAGGGAACGACAGATAGACTGGTGCAGAGAAAATAATTTTACGATCTCAAACATCTGCTATGAAAATAACTCAAGAAGACGATACAATTGGACGAGTCCTGGCTATAGAAGTAGAAACATAATAGACTTCATACTTATTCAGAAACATTTTAGAAAAGCAATTAAATCGTCTAAATCACTGCCAGGAGCAGACTGATAGTGACCATGTACCAGTCACGTGTAAAATGCAGATGAGACTGAAGAAACTTAAAAAGTCAAAGTACCAACCAAAATTTGACATAGATCTTTTAAAGACAATTCAAGAACTGAGAGATTGTTTCAGTCATTACAAAACAGCTCAGCATATGAAGGGAGTTCACCTCTGGAGCGCTCAGCACTGAATGAGTTAAGAGGCGGGACCTCCGAGTTGAACATCCATCTCCGATGGGATCAAGCCAAACGAGAAATCTGAGTCAAGTGCCTTTCCGAAGGACACAACATCAAACTGAGCTCAGGCCTGCATCTCACAATTACGGGTCTGGTAGCCTAACCACTAGGCTACGAGAACGGCACTTTTCAGGAATGATGTTAAGAAATCTCTCCCACAAGCAAGAGGAGAAATGACTGGTTTCCAGTTTGACAAAATAGCAGTTGCACTGAATGAAACAAAGGAAAGTCTTTTTTAGGAAGACAGAATATAGAAAAATAGGGAGACTACATATTGTGAACTGGTGATCATTTTTACTTAGTATCATGATGACACAAAAGTCGTCACTGACGGCCTGTCAGTTCCAACCCCTGAAGGTAACTTAAGTGGGGAGAATATTTACAAAGTCCTTGACATTGAGCTCACCAGACTTGAACTTCCTTGGGAAAAGTGCATCAGTTTTGGTGCTGAGAATGCGTACGTGATGCTAGGTCACTTGAATGGTGTGGCTGCCCACATCACTAAGCAGAATCCGGAGGTTTTGACGGAGGTTTTGATTCAAGGCTGCCAATGTCACCTATTGCACATTGGTGAAAAGAAAGGGGCAGAGTCTCTGCGTTGCCCTATTGAAAAGACCTTAATTGAGGTGTTTCACTACCTGGAGAACAGCAGTAAGCGCCTGAAAGAACTCCAGGAAAAGCCTGAAGGAACTCCAGGAATTCCAGCAAGAGTCGGGCACTGCCCTGACAAGGCAGCTGTTGAATGACATTACCGTTGTGAAGATGAAGATGATCAACAGAGGTGAATGTTGTCACAGTGCTGATTTTCCACAGTGCTGATTTTCCTCCAGCAGGGAGGAGGAAGCAAGCGAACAGAGAGAGGAGAGAGGGATCTTCAACCCCAACCAACTATCTGTTCACGGGAAATCACGGCCTTCAAGTGGAAATGGAGCCAAATGCAACACCGTTTGACTACCTGAACCTCATGATAGACAGGACAATCATGAGTCCATCGTCACAGAGACAAACAGGGGATTTGTGTGTGTGTGTGTGTGACAGAGAGTGAGGGAGGGAGGGAGGGAGGGAGAGAGGGAGGGAGAGAGGGAGAGAGAGAGAGAGAGAGAGAGAGAGAGAGAGAGAGAGAGAGAGAGAGAGAGAGAGAGAGAGAGAGATTGAAGAAATGGAATGGAAATTGATTTCAGCTACCAAAGGCTCATTTTATTTTTTATATATATATATATACATAAATAATGTATAACAGGGATAGCTCGAATTTGTCTGGACTGGCCTCGGTAGTTCGAGGGATCTGTAGTCGGAGTGATATCCTACAGAAATAAAGAAAAAGAAAAAAAAACAAGACCGCAGGCACAGTTCGACGGATGCCTGATTTCTAGTCTTCTGAGTTAGACCTATCCGTGTAAAACTGTGTATGTATAGATAGAGGATAAAAGATAGAGTTGGGCCATGGGGACTGGGTAAAGAGAATGAACGTGGGGAACGACAGACAGAATGGAGAGGAGAAAATAATTTTATGATCTCAAACACCTGGTATGAAAATCACCCAAGAAGACAATACACTTGGACGAGTCCTGGCGATAGAAGTAGAAACCAAATAGACTTCATACTTATTCAGAAACATTTTAGAAAAGCAATTAAATCGTCTAAATCACTGCCAGGAGCAGACTGTGATAGTGACCATGTACCAGTCACGAGTAAAATGCAGATGAGACTGAAGAAACTTAAAAAGTCAAAGTACCAACCAAAATTTGACATAGATCTTCTAAAGACAATTCAAGAACTGAGAAAATGTTAACCATTACAAAACAGCTCAGAGTATGAAGGGAGTTCACCTCTGGAGCTCTCAGCACTGAATGAGTTAACTCATTCCCTCAGCTAAGCCGACCAGTCGGCTATGAAAACGTTTTATCTCGACACCTAGCCGACTGGTCAGCTATCAGCATTGGTGAATCAAAAGTGCGAAGTTTTCCAAACTAACTTTCTGAATGAATTATCCACGTTTCCGAAACGGAAGTAGGATACGGATAATGATATTTTTTTTAAACTTACAAGAAGGCGTTTTGGCGGTGCTCTCGTGTTGTTTTGAGCGCGCGAAGTCAGTTCAAATTGTTTTGAGAATTTCACCAGCAAAATGGCTGACGGGGGAGATGAAGCAGGCCCTAGTTCGGGAAGGCGACAACGTCTTACAGCCCAACAAGCCCTTGGTTTGTTCCAAACTCTTGCCAGTGATGACAACTTAGCGAGTGAAAGGGAAGTAGAATTTAGTGATGGTGGTTCTGACAGTGATGGCGAGCGGAATGCCATGAACTTTGAGTCTGATAGTGATAGCTCTAGTGACACTGAAGGATCAGCTGCTCGGCCACGCCCACAAACTCACATTGTAAACAACGCAGCAACTGATTGGGTTGAAGTCTCGCAAAATCTAGGACTAGATCTAACCCCACTTCACCAACAGAATGTTTGTACAACAAGAAACCAGTTTGGAGATCCTCTTCCCCCTAGATCTAACCGAAGACAAGTGCCAGGGGTGAATGCAAACCTCGACCAGTCATTCAGTCCTCTCAACTGTTTGAAAGTAATTCTCACGCAGGACATTATTGACGATCTTATCAAGTCAACAAATAAATATGACGAGAAAAGGTGCAGGCCACATAGGCCTTGTATAAAAAAACGGTCAGTTTAACATACATGGGAGAAAGTGTCGGAGTACGACATGGTGAAATTTTTCTGTGTGCTCATAGCTATGGGCCTTGAAGTTAGACCTAGTGTTAGCAACTACTGGTCAACAGAAGAAATCATGTACAATGCTTTCTATCACATCATGTTTCGAAGAGAACGATTCGAAAGCATTTACCACACCATGCTTCACTGCTCTGATCCAGACAGTGAGAACAAACACAAAATAGAACTGCTCATTGATGCTGTCATGGAGGCCTCCAGAGAAGCATTCTACCCGTTCCAAAATTTGTCTATTGATGAAATGGTCGTGGGCTTTACTGGACGATGGAAGTTCAAACAATACAATCCGTCGAAACCCAAAAAATATCACATCAAGACGTTTGGACTGGTCGACTCCACTAAGGGCTTTGTCTTACGTGTTTTCCCTTACTTTGGGAGACATACGTCCTACAACCCTGCACTGGATCATAACTCTGGCATGGCCATCAAAGTCTTTGATACGCTCCTGAAAGATGTTGGAACTGGTCATCATATTTTTGCTTTCAAGTAAGTAGCAGTACTGCTCTTGTACTAGATCTAGTAGTAACATCAAATAATTGTGTCTGTGTCAGCTAGATCTATCTGTAAAATCCAGATAAAATTCACTGCTCTTTCTTTTTTAAAAAAAGGATTTTTTTAAAGATTATTTATTAGCCTTTAGATCTAGATCCATGTCATATTGACTCATAGTCAGTGTCCGTTATCTTTTCACCACCTTTAGAATTGATATTACAGCTCAGTTGTTGCAGCATTGATGAGTGTGTGACTGTGAAAAAGTAAGCCTGTGCATATTTGAGTGTTGTTTTCTTTGATGCCCAGTGTGACTTGTACGCTGTTGTTCGTGCCATAAATAAATCTACTTTATGGGATAACTAATATTTTCTCCCTTTTTTTCTTGTCTTAGGTATTACACGACAGAAGCCTGGTCGGGTACCTTTCAGGCCGGTCGCTGTACTACACTGGTACTCTGAACCTGAACAGGAAATATTTCCCACCTCAGCTGAAAAACATCAAAACGATGAAGCACATGGAGGCAAAACACTACCTGCGGAATGGCGAATCCATGCTCGTTACAGCGTGGAAGGACAAAAAGGCTAAAAATCCTTGTGTTGTTGTGTCAACCAAAGCAGAAAAATCCTTCTACACCAATGCAAAGAACAAGACAAAGCCAACAGTTGTGAACAACTACAACATGTCCACGGGTGGCAGCGACAAAGTCGATCAAAGGGTCACGTACTACAGCAACACCGACCGAAAATCGTACAAATGGTGGAAAAAGCAGGGGTTTTTTTTTGGATTTTCGAAATTGCGCAGAACAATGCGTTTGTTCTCTATGCTCTTACGAGAGAACAGGGAACAGCAAAGATGAGCATGAAAGCTTTCAAGCTGAACCTCCTGAAGCAGCTGCAACACAAGGCAGCGACACTGATGCCTGTTTTGTTTTAGTAGAGGTTTTACGGCGCTCGCAACTGCATACGGTCACATGAGCGCCAGAAGATTAGAGGTGTTACAAGAGAGTAACAAACATAAAAAAGAAGAACGGGAGATAAGGACGATAGATGCTTGATAGGAAAGAAGAAGCAGACCACACCAGAGCACCCACTTGCTGAGATTTCAGGAAAGGCTCATATATAAATAAATATATATATATGTACAGTATAACATGGATAGCTCAAATTTGTTGGGACCGGCCTCAGTAGTTCGAGGCATCCATAGTTCGAGGTATATCTCACAAAGATAAAGAAGAAAAAAGCCCCCCAAAAACGGGACCGCAGGCACAATTCAACAGATGTGTGACTTCAAGTCCTCTGTGTTCGACCTCCCATGTTATACTGTGTATGTGTGTATATATCTCCGTGACTGGTGCTGTAAGGGTTAACTTTCCTTGAGCTCTGCCTGACACTGATGTAACAGTTCTTGCACTTGATGAACCAGGAAATGGCTGCCACCCAGAGACACGGAGAAGATTTCAAGGCCCTGGGGAGAAAAAAAAAAGATCGGAAAGAACATTATGATATGTGTTTATAGCCTGAGAGTCTTTGAAAACTAAGAAAAAAAAAAATTACATATTTTGTGGCTTTCATCAACGTTTTACGGTAAAATTCATATGGAAATGTGTTTTTATATGGACATAAAAGGTGATGAGCGTAAAAGCAAAAATTTGATCAAATAGGCCAAACTGGGAACAAAGTCTGTTTCTTCGATTTTATTTTTATGATGAGCGCCTGATTTCACCACAATGCCTCACATATAGTACAGCGTCAGCTTAGACCTGGAACTTAAAGATGAAACAAAAAAATAAAAATTTCTTTTCTTTTCCGATCCAGTGGCGACCCGAGTTCTGAGGTAAAATTTTATATGACGCACAGCAGGAGCATATTTGGAGTCAAGTGTGCACTAAAGAGGCTTGAGAATGTTTCTAATAAGTGTTTAAGGGTCTGCTGGGGCAAGAATAGTCCTATGATGCAGAGAGCATGCTGTAAGTAAAGATTAAATATTCCCTACATAAATTGAATTATTTTATTTATTTTTTAAAATTATTTTTTTTAAAGTTATTTAAGCAAACTAATTTTTTTAATTTGTTTATTTATTCTTTGATTTTTTGTTTTTTGGGTGGGTTTTTTTTTGTTAATGCAATTATCAATGATAATTATCATTAATCAGCCCGAACAACCAGATCCTATCCTGCCAACGGGGCACCCTGTACAAGGACTCACCTTTATCAAGTGCATCTCTGCCTCGTGTAGTTTGCCCAGGAAGAGCAGCAGTTTGCCCAGATTGGCGTACATGTATCCGACGCACGGACTGAAAGCTGGATGTAGCGTCCTGGGGAGGTTAACGGGGTAAAAAAGTCAACTTGAGACCCCACTTTTGGAAAATACCTGACCTACTTATGATAATAATAATATAATAATAATAAAAATAATAATAATAATAATGATAATAACAACGATACTAATAATAAATGTATTTATACAGCAAATATCTACAATCAACAGCGATAATAAATGCATTTATATAGCCCAAATCCACACTCTAGGGCATGCCCCCATGCCTTTCACAAATTGTAAGTACTACTACGCACATCTGGGATCTTTACCGTCTGTGGGGCTATTTTGGATCACAGTAAACGTCATGTGTCAATGATCTTTTAACTTACATTAAGCATGGGTCTCAACTCAGAATTTTTAAAAAGGAGGAACTTTCCGTGTGATCGCGACAGAAGCCCATTTTCGCGAGACACCCACTATTATTAAACTGTTGGGAGACCCTAGAATGTTGAAATAAAAACCATCAATTTATCAAAGCAAGGTTATTTCATACCAGTTTGAGGGTTTGGAAGATAATTTCAAGAAAGAGTCACTTTCCAAATATTTACAATATTGATTACATACAGAAAGTGGAGGCGCACTGTGTTCTTGTGCGACTTATTTATATTTTACCTTCATCATATTCGCCTATGTAAACTATATAAAAATGAATCTTGTTTTGAGCCTGGGAAAACCAGAATATCGACTTTCATGAACCAGTCTGGGTGTAATGATTCATATAATAAATGTGAAAGACAAAATTAATGCTCAAACTCAAAGTAAAGTAATAACTTGAATAGCTCAAGTAAACCTATTCAGAGTGAGAGGTGTAAGAACTGTTGGAGGGCAAGATACAGTGACACTGAAAATCTGCGAATCTTGAACAAAAAGCTAAAATATAGAGACATAATTTACTGTCACCCATCTAATGAAACGCGAACACTTAGGCCCCTGCCTTAAGTTCATTAACACGCTTACAAGTAGTTATGACAGATCCCGATTATACACAAGGCATGCACAAACGCGCACTTTACTTTGCAGAGAGCTGTAGTAGATCTAGTTATCAAAATTCTAAATATTAAAATTTGCTTCCAATTTCTTTTCTTTTTTTGTCCTCTCGTGTTGCGTCCAGCCCTCCCCCCCATCCCCGAGTGTATCTTTTTTAAAAAATCAATAATCTCCCCCCCCCATTACGGAGTCCTTTACTTCACAGCGCTCAGAACGCGCGCATTGACCGGTCACAATGACGAGCCCGACAAGACGCTTGTATAACTTTCTTTTCTTTTTCTATTTTTTTGCTCCCACAAGCAACAGCTCAGTGACGAACATTATTTTCATGGCGACACCACGTTTGTAATGCAGAACCTGCATGTTACAAATGTTGCGTATTCAGACTTTTACAGACAAATTTCTGAGATCTTGATTTTCCGGTCGAGCCTCGGTGTCACACAATTCCGCTTGCCGCCATAGCCGCCTGTTCGCGTGAAACGTACTCTCACAACGGGAAAAGTTGAATTAACATCACAATCGCGACCGGCAAAAATGAACTTAAAGACGTTATCGGATTTGGTTTTCAAATAATATTCGACATCTTTTATGTATTTTCCCGCGTCTCAGCGATTTTTTTTCAAATTTCCGGGTAATTCCCGGGACCTGGCAATCACTCAGCTCCAAGAAACTCTCTTTCCGATTGACCCGCTTTCGCAGTAGCGGAGTTTAGCGGAGGACATGGCGATAGCGGAAATCCGCTAAATAGCGGAATATTGAGACCCGTGATTAAGAATGGGGGGTGGGGGTGGGGAGAAGAGAGGGGGTCAAAAACACCTGACAAAGACATTCAACTGAACAAAGGACCATCCCACCCTCCCCCCACCCCTTTTTTTTAAAGTATCATGATGAGCACTTGGTAGGCCCTCTGGTGTGGTTTGCTCCTTCATTTATATATAAAACATTTATCATCCTTCTCTCTCCTTCTTCTTTTTGTCTAAAGTAACACCTCTAATCTTCTGCATTTTATATTACACAAATTGTGTTGCAAGTGCCATGAAACTCCAATGTGGGGAGTTGACCGTTGCTCTGATGTAGTTTGCTCCTTCTTTCCTATCAAACATCTATCGTCCTGATCTCTCCTACTTCTTTTCTGTGTTTGTTACTCTCTTGTAACACCTCTAATCTTCGGCCCTTATACGACCTTATTGTGTTTTAAGTGCCATAAAACTCTCAACTAAAAAAAACAGAACTTTTTTTTAAAAATTGATGGAGAAACACTCACTGATAGGGCTTCAGGTTTTTTATGCCGAGGTAGAAAGCCTTCTCAAACTCCTGGCTCTCTATTGCTGCATCAAATCCTTTCCCAATCAGCCGCACCAAGTGGACGTTAGTGCTTGGGAGAGTAATCTCTGACAGGCATTTGTCGCAAGTTTCTAGGATTTTCTCTGATGACTCTGAAATAGAATAAACAGTGTTGAAGTTAACATAATATATACTACAGACTTGAAGAACAAAAACTAGGACAGTGTATTAATTATCTAAAAATATTCTTTAAAAAAATAAGTACCAAAAAATAATTAAATAAAATATAACTGTAGCTGATGCGTTGATGTAAAGGCATTTTGCGAGAGCTCCATTTTACAAATCAAGGTAAGGAGCTAAGAAAGCAAGAATGATGTGTAAAATGAATAAAATTTCCTGTCAACTCTGTTATTCTTACCTTGGGCTTTTTGCATGGATTCCACTTTGTCTAAACAAGCTTTCACCTTTGCCAAGTCTCCTGCATGAAAAACAAAACAAAGCAACATTATACAGACTTAAAACTACAGTAAACAGACATAATATAAAAAAAGGAAGGACTAAACAATTCATTTAATTCTTTCAAGCATTTTAACTTATTAAATCACCCATTTTCTTTTCACATAAACAGTTTTTGCATGTGTGTGTGTGTGTGTGTGTGTGTGTGTGTGTGTGTGTGTGTGTGTGTGTGTGTGTGTGTGTGTGTGTGTGTGTGTGTTTTTGAGAGTGTGCATGTGCACATTGTGTCTGTGTATGAGCGCTCATGTGTGTGTGTGTGTGTGTGTGGGCACGCGTGTATGTGCGCGTGTGTGTTTGTGAATGTGCGTTGTGTTGATATGCTTGTGTATGTGTGTTTACCATGCCCCCAGGAAATTTTTCTTTGTGGAGATCAATAAAATGCTACCTATTTTCTATAATAAGTACAACCTCACATCCATTAAACGCCTTAACTCCATGTGAACTCATTTGAGAGAAAACCAAATCCCGTTTTAAATTAGGTAACAAAAATGACTCGATACAGCATATATACCTGTTATTTCTTAAAAACTTTCCAAATTCAGCAACATCTTTTCACAAAAATAAATTCAATAAGACATTATGCGAAAACAGAAGCATCTTCATTTTTTTGTCTCCAAAAAATGGGAGATATAGTGTTCTATCAAATCACTGCAGACATGGATTTTGGCATCTCATAGCATGCCACTACGGCCACCTATGAGGAGAAGATCGGTAATTAAAGAAAAAAATAAAAGTACAAAAACAAATTCTACTCAGTACAACCCAACAAAAGAAAAAGGAGCAATCCGCTTACCTTCCGTACCGCCCTCCACTGAACACATCATCTTTTCCTGGAGTTGAGAAAAATAAAACAAAGTGAGACGTTAATGAAGAACGAATCATAATACAACCGAGCCTAGATTCAATTCTATTGTGACCGTTCGTGACTTTTTATTGCATTCTATATTTTTTAGTGAACACATTGCCAAGCTCACTGCAAGACTGTTTTTCTCATAGATTTGTATACATGTACACACTTTATATATATATGCATAATACTGTGTTTTACGTACACACAAGTCGACTAATCTTTAAGATGTGATATCTTTTTTTATGTAATGTGCATTGAGCATTTTTCTGAAAATGGAAAAGCCCAGTGAAAATGCTATTGTTTGTTATTATAGATCTACTCTAGTGTCAAAGACCACCACCACCACCTGTCCAAGACAACCACCCGAACAAATGACCACCTCCCACTTCCCCTTTGAGTTTCTTTTATTATAAATTAATGACCCTGTCTAAAAGAACCAGTGCCACTTGTCTAAGAAGACCCCTTTTCTCCTCAACAATGGGTGGTCGGTCGTCTTGGATTTTTAGTGTTAGTAAGAGTTTTACGGCAATTGTAACATAATAAGGTCATATAACTGCCGAAGATTTGAGGTGTTACAAG